AATGAAGACGTTCATCATGTGGTAGGTAGGTAGCTGGAGTGCTAGCTTATAAATGATTACTGTGTATCTCTCCCTTTATATTGCCACATTCTATCTACCTTTTGTTTACATATTTTTCATAGTTTTAATGAAGTGACTTTTTGAACTGTAAAGGGACACTTCACCGTGCGGAGCCCGCAGCTACATGACTGCGCCGCGCTCCTGTGAAGGAAACACATTCCAATTCCCTTCAGCTTTATCTCCTCGTCCTCCTCTACACAAATTTATGGAGGCTTTCTGAAGCATGACGGCAGACGATCACGCACCTAAAATGAGTTGTACCATAATCTGATTTAAGCAACCTATAGCCTCGACCAGCGTCGACAGCAGCGAGATAAAAGCTTGCTGTGACCTGTGCTGTGAGCTGGGATGAAGCCATATCCCTGCGAAGAGATTTTATCCTGCATTTTAGAATAATAACAGGACTGATTATCTCTGGAATCAGGACATTTGTGTGCTTTTTCTACACAGCACAAACCTCATCTTTGAGGTCAGTGTATATCATTTGGACAACTTCAAGCTGTTTGCAGTGCGGCTCGTGTGAGTAACTTTAGAATTGATAAACGAAGGGACCTCTGGGTGACTTTAGATGTTGCTTCATCGATTCCACAGGGATTTATTGTTTTAAGGGAACATTTTGAACCAGATTTTTCTACCAGTCAGGCTTTGCCAACTACTTTGCTTCAGAAATTCTCTATTGCATCATCACGTATCACACTGGTCCTGTCTGAATACTCTTAAAAGTTTTTTGGTTTTTTTGGAGACTTCCCCATTCTCACACTCAAAACAAAGGATTACTCCTACATCACTGTGTGTATTTAAAGCAAGGAGCGAGAGAAAAAGACTCCACCTGCTGTTGCAGCGGGGGAATCCACAGCTCCGCTCGAGGGCATGTGAACATATGCCATGCATTCCCATATCTCTTGGCACGGACATTTTTTCTCCATTTCCTTAATTCTCCTGTTGTGTGACTGCCAAATATAGCTTCCGCTCCACCAGGCTAAAGTAACTGGGTCACTAGAGCTGTGAGTAATTAGCTGATAACAAAATATGTTTCTGTTTTGTGGCACCAGGAGCCTGAAGACTAAGGTGCATACTGAGGCAGGGGTTTGATGGTTGAGGGTGAAAAGTTCGACGTGGGCAGGAGGCCAGAAATAACATAATTGGCAGGTTTGATCAAATGAATTAAAAATTTGCATGAGGCAGAGGTGGATGTGAATGACATCCACTTTCACACAGTGAATATTTAAAAGGAAATGTCCAAGATCTAATGATAGAGAACTCATTTCAGGATGCATTTCTAATGAAAACATTGCTCTGGTCTACTATTTTACATTACAAATAATGTTTTCAGTTTATTGTAAAGTGGATAAAAACATATTTTTAGCACACTGTCAGTGAGGTGAATACATGCTGCATGGAAAGAAGTAAACAAGAAGAATGGCTCATTTGAATGTTGGTAAACATCCACTATAATGGGACCGGAAAATATCCAGGAAGAAAAAGGGAAACATTAAAGCAGGCTCTAGTTTTTTTGATCCCTTGACTCCTGGGTTTCTATATTAGTTCAAAAGCACTCCATTATATACTATACCATCACTATATGATTCAACCCAGTGCAATGTTATTATATATGTTACATTTCCTCAAGTCAAACTGAGTTTTACTTCTATGCTAGAGACAGAGTTCCTGCAACTCTGTGATAATAAAAACAATACTGCCACTTTGGTAAAGCAAAACCAACAATGTTTTTGTCAAAACTTTCTCCAGATTGTGTATCTGTGAACCTGAGCCCCACTGGGTCCTTCCTGCTTCTACAAACATCACATTGATTTGAAGGAATTCCAAACTAGATGTCATGTTATATTATTAATTTTATAAAAATAGATATTGTTAAATTCGTTTATTTCATACAAGCCATACTACTACTTGTGTGTGTGTGTGTGTGTGTGTCTGTGTGTGTCTGTGTGTGTGTGTGTGTGTGTGTGTGTGTTGACTTTGGAGGAGCTAATCTGTCAAAGGTCAAGGTCAACAAAAATATGGTCTGAAAAACACATTTTCCAGAATATTTCTATAAATGATAGAACCTGTTTAAGTTTAAATTGCTCATCATATAAGTGGCATCATGAAGGAGCCCCAATGAAGTCAGTCAAAATGATGAGATCTTTCAAAAATGCATTTTTCACAGCATCCTATAGGACTATGGACATGACCTAGTTTATATAGATCAAAATATCATTAGCTATCATATGGTGATAAAGATGTTAACGTGTTGCCTCTATAAAGTCTGACAACAACATCATATAGTGTAGTGATACATTATCCTTTGCAACCAATAACATTAGAGACATAATCTACAGATTATTCAGATTAAACAATCATTCGTGATCATGTGGCATGATGATGAGGTCATTTTGAAATGAAAAAGTAAGGTTTATGCAACACACACGGTTTTCATTGATAGGTTTGATGACGTTCAAACAGCTATAGCATCACTTTGAATACCAGACACAGGTTTTCAACTACTTCTCAGTCGTTACAGCTGGTTCACATTGGTGGTAAACTGAGACATGTCCTCTGCTTGAATGAGTTTCTCCACTACGTTTACCCTCAGGTAAACATGTTCCCCTGTTTTATGGCACAAAAGATTAAGATATACATATATATGTGCCCTTAACTTTTTCAACATTTCCAAAGCAGAGTCTTTTCAGTGGAGGTGTAATTCTTATCAGGGGTAAGCGTGTCTTTTCTAGCCTGGTGAATGTGGCTTGCGGAGCTTGAAATAGCTCAGGATGAGACGTGTGCGGTGGCGGGGGCAGGGGTGAGTGAGTGGCGACACTCCAGACTTTCAGGCAGGAATCAACTCGCTCCAGCTGCCGGTGTAATAAAGAGCTGGCACCTGTCCATGGTCCTGAAATCAACCACTATCTCTTTGAATGGAGAATAAACGGAGCTGGCCGTGGTGCTGAGACTCTGATGCCGCTGGGCAAATGGAACGACTCACAACTCAACTGAGCATCAGGTGCATGCATATACAGTGGCTGCTGTTTATCCAAACTGCTGCCTTCCAGTGGCTGAAAAGACCGAGACAGACTCTGTGTTGGATATGACTAATGCAGGGGTGGAACGCAGCATACACATCCAAGAATAGGAGATCAAATAGGGAGCAGTGGGTATTGCCACATGTATAATGAAACACAGAACTGTATTATGTGAAGTGGATGTCATATATGAAAATGTTGACGCAACACGCTCCTCTGAATGACCACTCCGTCGTCATCCGTCTTTGTGTTTGTCTGACTCCCTCATCTGTTTTTCTCTTTGGTTATCTCTCACATGTAGGGGTATAAAAAGCAGCTCCTCTAATCTGTTCTTTGACCTATCGTCTGAAAGCTGGAGCAGCTCTAAAATGTTTTTCATCTGTATCCCACAGAAGACGGACTCTGCGGTGCATGGCTTTGAAGCAGCCCACATCATACACCTGCTAAGGGTCAGTGATCATCCCAGCCCACGGGTGCAGAAACCCACTGGACACAGACAGATTTCTGACTGGACCAGAAATTCCTGGCTAAACTTTATTCCAGCTCTCTCCTCTCTGGGCTCATACTGATTCTGTGCATGCATGTATAGGCTGGCCATTCCTATAGCTCATCTCTGGTGAGAGATAAGTATTGTTTTTTGAGTAGCAGCACATTTCATGCTCTGCTGCCCCCACCTGTTCCCTGACCTGCAGAGTCTCAAGGCTGGAATAACTGTCAAACACCTTCACCCACGTCTTTTGGGGATGATTGAAAAGAAGGGTTTGTCTTCCAGAAGTTACCAAAGCACAAAAAAACACTGTGCTCAAGGTGATCATTTAAAACAATAACGCCACATTTAGGTGAATGTTTTTGGCTTTGTCGTCTGCAGATGCATGTGGCTGCAATGTCAAGGTCAAACTATTAATCCAACCTATCGGGCTGATTTGAATAATGAACAGCAGAATTTGTCTGGGCCTCAAAGATTGGGGGGGGGGGGTCCCCCTCCCCGCCTCCCAGCATTGACTCACTGAGCCAATTTAAGTTTCCAACCTTCTCTGTGTGATGTCTCACCGTGTTCGCCGGTTATCAATCGCGAGTGCAATGAGGTTTGTGTGTAATGAGAGAGGAGCAGCTGTGTCTGCTTCAGTTGGCAGGAGTCTGTTTTTGTTTTGCACAGCGGTGATTTGCAATCATGGACCTGTCTGAAATTTTACAAATTGCCATCAGTGGAAGGACAAGAGGCGTCCTGCATCCTCTGACATGCGTTATCACTTTGGATTAAAAGAAACAGAGTTTAAAATATATTTAATGGTGGGTTGCTGTTTGGGAGAGAAATCTATAATCTGGAGATTTTAAACTATTTGATAATTCAACATGACTCCAGCTCTGTCAGAGATATATTCAGTTAAAAAGGTTAGTTTTAAAGGGGGGAAAGTGGGGTGCAGTGCAGGAAGAAGTACAAAGAAACAGCAAAGTTAAATTCCTCACCTAGGAGAAAAGCAAAATCCTCAAAGATGAAAATCAAAACTGTTATCTTTGCGCCCTCTGAGACGAACTGCCTCCAACACCAGAGAAACACTGCAAGATCAATGAGGAGCACCAAAACCAAAATCACACCCAAACAAGCCATGAGAAAGAGGGGGAAAAAGCCAGAAAACAAGCGAGAGGTGTGTGGATTGTGATGGAGTGAGCTCGTAAAACAAAAAGCTGCTTCGGTAGGAGAAGAAGAAGGAGAGAGAAGAGAAAGAAAAAAAAATACCAAGAGCGTCCGCAAGCACGTAGTAGTGGGTCTATTTCTCAGAGGATGTCTCCGGAACACTCAGCATCCAAGATTGAAATCATTGCATGCAGAGAAACGAGAAAACACTTTCCCCGAGACAAGGCAGCAAGAAAAAGAGGCTTCAAAATATGAAAATGTCAGTGGAAGGTGTCAGTACTCACCGAGCGGGAGTAAAAGGTTTCAAGTAAAAAGAAATGGGGGCGTTTAGCGGCGGTGGGTTGGTGCTGTGCAGGATTGTGGATAAACCGAGGCGCTGCGCTCGCTATCACTGCCGGTTGTTGAGTCATGTGACCGAGGATTGGCCAGAGTTTGAGAGTCACACACACACGCAGACACACGCACACACGCACACACACACGCAGGTATTCAGGGCTGTAATGGATAGGGGCTTTTCGGGTAATGTCATTGATTTTTTTTTTTCTCAGCACAATTTCAGTTTCTTCAAATTGGTCCAGCCACTACACGGGGGGAAAGTTTAGTATATATATATATATGTATATATTGCAAGGTACTGCAGTGAGTAAGTGCATGGGATCATATTTTTATACTTTCCACACTTCAGTTTTCTCCTCATGTAGAGAATCGAATGCCCGAGGAAATACTATATATACTGTAAGTGTAACAATGCCACCGTAGTTATGTGTAAGATAGATAGATAGATAGATTACTTTATTCATCCCCGGAGGGAAATTAAGTCGTCATAGCAGCTCRTRTATCAGAACACAACAAAACACAATACAATAGAACAAAACAAAACATTGAGGTAGAAAGAACAAAAACAGAAACACAAGATGAATAGGCAGACAAGTAGTGCAGTGGCAATATGATGGTAATAGTAATGATGATATGATGGTAATGTTATTGTTAGACAGAAACACAAGATGAATAGGCAGACAAGTAGTGCAGTGGCAATATGATGGTAATAGTAATGATGATATGATGGTAATGTTATTATTAGAGTCCTATATGCATTTGTAATATGTATTCTTACGATTACACATTATCACAAATTACCTGGCATAGGCCTCAATTCAGGGGTGGATCCAGGGGTGGGATCAGGAGGCACTGGCCTCAGCTGAAATCCGATTGGCCCCGGACGTGTCCCTGTCCTGTCAGTGTCTTTAACAAATAGTCACAGAAAAACAAACGATTTGTCCAGTCCAAGATAATCTCTGCTGATATTAGTGAGAGGCAGGGTACAGCCGACATTTAGAGACAAACTAACATCATTCACAACTACAGACAATTTCAAGTCTCCACTTAACCCAACCTCAATATGCATGTCTTTGGACTGTGGGAGGAAGCTGGACTACGCAGAGAATCACAACACAGACCATTAGATAGTGAGTTTGCCTATTTGTAGTTCTGTCTGAATGTTTCATACCCTATATAGTGCACTCATTGTTTCCCACAATGCATCATGGAGTAGTACAAGTAGTAGTAGTAGTAGTACAACTAATAGTCACTAACAGAGCAATATATAACATCATGCATTGTTGCTGTACAAATGTAAATACAAGCAGAGCAGAGCATCACTGCACACCTACTAGTGAAGTAGGTATTTGATAGAGTTCAGTACCCCTACGTTCATTTTTGGGGGACTGCTCCTCTCTGTTTTGTTGGGAGAGGGGCTCCACAGATGTAAGAGATAGACGGGAAGATTGTTTGTCTTGTCAGAATAAGCAGAGATTGCCTCCAAAAGCATTAATGGCCCTTTCTATCGAATAACTCACAACACAGACATCACCTCAAGTGGTAACAAGCTGAAAAAGCTGAAAACTTCTGCATTAAAACCAGCCTTTAAATTGCCACTGCAACTGTCACATAAAAGGAATTAGCTTGTTGCAACCAAAAACAATCTTTTTTCATTACGTTGCTAAAGCCTGTTATATTATTTACATAGATTTGACTTTATCATCTTTGCTAAAGGCTGCTAACATCAGGGGAATGACTGAAAATGAGTTTAACAACCCCAACCTTGTGGTTCTCTCAGTAAAATCTACTTCAAAGACAAATGAACTGAGTTTCTATTGAACCTCATGAGAACATTGATCATCAGTGAGGGTGTCAACTCTCCGGTGAGTCCTCTGACAGAATCATAAGATTGTCAGTGAATGAGCTCACCTCACACTGACTGAGCAGCTTCCACAACATTAAGGAAACTCCGGGATGTAAAAGATGCTGCGTATTTTGGTTTGGAAAACTTAGACTGGCTCCTCAACATGTTTCATTTGATCCTGCTCCATGAGGTGGACAGCTTCAGGGTTCCTACCCATTCTTGACAGAAACATGAGTGGTCATGCTGTCAGGGAGGAGCAGAAGTCTTTGTTGTTGCCGCAGCGTCTGCCGGGCAAATGAAGAAAGGGTCTGTATGGATCAATGACTTCTTAAGGGCGCTGATAGGCAGAGACAGACAGATGCAAGGGCAGCGCACTTCCTCCCCAAACTTCTTTGTTTTCCTTCACGAGGATGAATTGCTCGATAGATTCGGGCGAACATCGCAGGAGCAGCATTTATCACGTTTTTCGAGGTCTTGTGAGTTTATGAGTTGGGATTTAGGAAGGTGATAAAATCTAACAATGTGTTGAAATGATGTTGCAAAGGTAGATGTCTCTACATGTAAAAGCAAAAGTCAAAGATTCAAAATTTTACTTGATGGTAAATGAACAAATATGTTTGTATCAAAACATTTGCTAAGTACAATTTCTACCACTTTAAAGGGCACAGGGGGCTGGAGCCACGTGTGTATTGTTTATATTGTTTTTATCAATGCTGCTTTCCAGATGAATAGTCTTATCTTAACTTTAACAATACATAATCAATTAGGTGATTTTATTTTCTGATCTGAATCTGCAGAACAATTGAAGTTATAATAATTTTATGATCAGGTACTTGCTAAAAATGCTGTTATTATTATCATCATCACACAGAAGTGACATGTAAAATAGATGGTCGTATATAATATTGAATTATTGATGGGATAACAAGCACCTATTGGGTGGCTGCACTATTATACCTCAATTACAAACTGTAATGACAGTAATGTTAGAATAAATTACCATTAACGATTTTATTAGCATTATTGGGTATTGAAAAATTAAATATTAAATAACTTATTTCCTCACTCTCTCTCTCCATGTTTGCAGGTAAATAAGACATCAAACCTAAATTTATTAATTTGGTAACTGTAACTTTGTAGGTTTGCCCAAATGATGGGCCGGACGAATTTTAGAAGTATTATAAAAATGGATCAGAGCCACTTTAAGTTCTGATGACACAACAAATACTACATATTCTACACTATACACATGTAATATGGTGAACCCCTCATTTATTACACACACACACTTAGTAACTGATCTGTAACCAACAGTTTCAAAAAGAAGGAAGAAGATGTGAAGGTCGACTTCAGCATCGTGACATTGTCTTTGTCGATATCATGTGAAGAGATGTTTGTTCAGGTCTCAGACCATCATATGAGCTGCTGCAGGGATAGGAGGCAACATGCTCCTTTAAAGTGAAACAGAAAAACCACACACCTCCTTTCTGCTCAGTGTCACATACAAATCTTAGAGCAGATGCCGCTCCAGCACAGTGTGAATAAAGATCTCTGTATCTATTCATCTCCATCCACCTTCCTCCACCCCAGTACACATGGTAATTCTCTGGCTGGGATTCGGAGCTCTGTGTGGACAGTCCAGAAGTATCTGGCATGCAGCTTGTCTTTGCTGTCTCTATAACTCCAAGTCATGAGTCTGTATACAAGGTGTATGTGTGTGTTTCTGAGTGTAGCCTGTTGCAGACAAGACCTGAATTTGATCCAAGCATCATGTCAAGTCACGGGTCTGCACTCTGGCAGAGCAACAGTTATAATTACAACAGCTAACAGAACATATAATGGCAAGAAGACTGAAAATATCCCCTTTCATCATACAGGAAGAGTGCATTAGCAGCAGGGGTTCACTATTTCCTCTCTGATTGGAGCTATTATATACAATTTAGGATATGTGGAAATAGAAAGCTGGTGCCAGAGTGTGGTATATATATTTATTTATATTTTTAATATATATATATATAGAGAGAGAGAGAGAGAGACCAAATAAGCTTTGCCCTGGTAAAGACTAATGCAGCCAGTATTGTTCAATGTCCTCTGAAAAAAAATATTTTAATGGTGTCTAAATTACAGCTCTGAGGAAATTTTGAGTGCTTGTCCTCTGCTGCCTGTTTCCCTCGGCCGACTATCTTTTTATTCTGTTTTGCTTATAGCCCATTTTTCAACCATTTCTTTGCACACGCTGCCATTTTTCACAAAAATGACTCCGCATAGAAAAGTAATTTGGTTGTCTATGAGATTCATGCTATTTCTGCTGCTTACTCAGAAATAATGATTAGACAAAAGGTCATTTACAGATGTTTGTGTGTGTGTG